AACATGTTGCTTTACTGGGAGGATCAAGCTGTTCTGAGTCTCAGAAGGGCACAGGAAAATTCATAACAACCAGAAGACTGCAGTACTGCAGAAGAGCACCTACTGAGAAAGCCAGCAGTAACTGAACAACCTTTTTGACAAAGGAAAAAAGCATAAAATAGTCTAATACTTAATGTTCTACATATGCTATACCATTCCCCAAAGCTTGTATGCATTGGCATAAGTATAGCTGCAAATGCGAAAATGCTATTAAAAAATCCCTAAAAACAAAGCAAATAAACAAAAAACCAAAACCAAAACTAACAAAAAACCCACAAACAAACCAAGCTGTGGTTGGTATTTTACATTTGCAAATATGTATGCAAGTTACATGGGGATTATTTTCTCTGCTGAGCTCTTTACTTCTTCTCTGAAGAGGGAGACAAACTAATCTGAAGCTGGAGACACCATGCATGAACATACAGAATGTAGATTGGACTAAAAAATACCTTAACTACCCAATCAAAATTTATGGGCTGGTAACTCAAATTGATTTTAAAGAACAGTCCTCTTAAAAAAAAATTATTTCCAGAAATAAATATGCACGTGAGATGTATCAATTATATTTTAATATCTTAAAGGTACATTAAACACCTTACTACATTAATACTGAATAAATCCTATAATTTACCATTGTATCCTTAGGTCTTATTATCTTTTTAAAAAAATATAATGAACAAATGCTAAACTTTTTTACATTTTTGAAATCCTGAGTACTGTTTACCTCTTAATCATTTCAACAGTTGCTAGAATGAAGACATTAATTTACTGTCTTCCTTATATGAATGCCCCATAGTGCTCCCACAGATGTTCAGCCCTCAGGGATTGATTTCAAACTTGGAAGCCCAGGAGAACCACATGTGCAAGTACCATTACCTCCCAAAGGCATCCGATGCTCAAAGAATCACTTGGAAGTTTTTAAACTCAACAGGAAAGACACTCAACTCAGAGACATCTCATAAGAACAATAATGACAATGGGCTAGAAAACATTGCCTGTCCTTGAAAGCCTGGTTGAAGAATAAATTAGCTTTAAAAAAAACCACTAAACCAGGCTTTGCCAAAATTAATGTCTGGCTTGGCCCCTCTGACTGTGCTTCTTCATCATGGCATATTTCAAGTAGTGTATCTTTCTGATGTTTAGCCTTTCAAGCACAAGGAAATTCAAAAATCTGGCAATGACCTAAAAACCTAAATGCATTCCATAAGACAAACAAAGTGGGAAGTACAATCCTTGGATAAAGGCAATGCTTAGGGCAGCTACCATAAGACAACAGCCCATGCAAAATTCCCCAATCTTGCACAAACAAACACTGAGAGACATCCCTGCTGGCAGGAGCACTGAAAGCTGTGGCTGAGGTGCCAGGTCTGTGCTGAGTCCTGCTGCTGGACAGAGTGCGAGGGATGCTGAAGAGGAGAGGGGGATTTGCAGCTGCAGGGAAGGCTTTTAACCATTGCAGCAGCCACAGCAACTTCACACACTCAGCTCCCATTTCCAGGGGATGATTCCTGGAAGCAGAGTGGGTCTGGCAGAGGCTGAACCAAGAACCATCCCTGCAGCCCATAGGCTGCACAGCCAAGAGCACAACACAGAGGGTTTGGCCAGGGCTGTTCAAGAAGTTACCATGAGCTCAAGAGTAGAAAAACTTCTTCTACTTTGAGAGTTTAGGAAGCTTCACTCCTATAGGAGGAGTGTAGCATTTATTGAGACTGTGAAACAAACACCTATTAATAGCTAATATTTATTTCTGATTTTAGCACTTTATAATACAGGAATATCTATAGATAAATCTTACATGAAAGACAAGGAGCATTCTACTTTCAGTCTTAGCAACCACTTTGCCTTGTTTTACTTTTGGCTGCCATGAGAAAAGAAACCCTGGGTTCTCCTTTCTTCAAAAGCAGAATTAAGTTTTGGGAAGAACTGAAACCCCACATCAGTTTAAGAAAGGGACAAGCCCCTGTCACTACATCTGCTCTGCAGACATTTTTCTGTTTGGGTTTTGGCTTGTTTTCTCTTTTTTATTTCTTGTACAAGGCAGCATAACAATGATTCATCATGAGGAACTGTTGTGTTTCTTGCAGCAAGAACTAAATGTGGTCTTTCTTAAATATATCTAAAGAAGAAAAAAATACAAAAGGATTTCAGAATCCTTAGGTTTTTGGAAGAGCATGAGTGATTTTGCTAAAAATTATAAAAAGAACATATGAAAGCACAGAAATCATTGCCTTTTTCTGCATTTCTACCTACAATGTAATTTGAAGAAGGAAAAAAAAAAAGGTAAATAAGAACATCTATATCTACATAATGCATAAGTGTGGGTACCTGAAATGTGTATAACAAGGTAGCAGTTTCTAGTATGTTTAAAAGGAGTAATTTTCCCTGAATAACAGCAAGACACAAAAGTTTGGTGAACATGTGTTTATTCCTAATCTTATTCAGCTATGGAAAACCTCATACTTGATTTGAGCTACACTGATTTCAGTCTGTATATTCATTTTCTTCACATCAGAAGTCCAGTACTTTTTACAGTGCTCTGGGGATATTCACTTCCAAGATTCACTTCATTGTGTGATGCCTCTGGTCAAATGCAAGAGGTTTGCATTCTACTATTGGTGAACACTTTGCAATTCATAAATCCTAAATCTTGGAAACATCCATCAGTAATTATACTATGAAAAGTCATACAATAAAAATAAAAATTAATTTTAATGTAAAACTAATGTAAAAAATATTGGTGTAAAAGAAACCTGTGCAGGATAAAGTTAAGACTTTGTTAGTTCCTCTTTGAAGTAAGCTGAGAAGAGGACTATCATGTATTTTAGACCAGGTCTGGTTGCATAACATCTCTATTTAGCTATTTTCAGCAGGTACCTTCCACAGCTGCAGAAGTGACAGATGTCTAGTACAAGTGAATGCTTGTGATTACAGATAATATTTTGTGAAATGAGTAAATGCAGTTGGTGGGTTTAAAGGTGAGATTGAAGCTTGGGATGTGAGCATTGCAAAGGTATCTCCTCTGCACTGAAAAAGAAACAAAATCTTTAATTAAGTGACACAGAACTAGGGAAAGGTCATGCCATGTCCTACTTTAAGTTCACTCAGGAAAGAAATCCTAATAATGCCCTAAACATTGCCAGCAGTCCTGCAGCTTGAGCCAGCACAGTTTACTAGAAACATGTAGGTCACAATAAGACAAAGATAAAACACTATAGAGTTGCACAAAAATAGCAAAAAATGGCAACTGAAAGAGAAGATGAAGTAACTTGAGGCAGCCACATAGGAATAAGGTGTGCAGACTGCTCCAATTACCAATGGGATTCTCTGGGTGGGAGTGATTATTTCCATGTAAATTAGTGTGCAACAAAAGAGAAAGCTGATTTAGGGCTGATTACCTGGCTTCTCTCAGCAAGTTATTAGACTGATATTTCATGGTATTATTTATTGTCTTTTAATGTATCAAACATGTTTGAAATTTTAAATGCATAAATAAACCAATCAGTCTCACATTGTCATTAGGGAATCACATGAAGCAAAAGTATTACCAGGAATGATAATAGCAAACCATGAAGTTACATTGGATTTTCTAAGATAAACACCCTCCTTTCATATCAGTGACAGGGACAGCACTGAGACATCCACTCTCCTAAACTATTTTCTTGCCTAACCTTCTATGTTCAGTTACTTTCAATTACAGCCTTTACTAGTTTTGGACTGATAATTCCTAAACTTGCAAATATCTCATAAGAAAAAATGTTTCATTTGAGCAATTGAAGCTTAACTAAATTCATTAAAATTCTCAGGCTTTCAGTAGATTTGAAGATTATCTCCCGTTTACCTGGTATCACCCTTTATGTTGTTTTTATTAATAATTCCACTTAATATCTGGAAAATTTATAATTCTTGTCTCTACTGTATTATCTGCATATATCATATTAATTTAATCCTTTTTAAAATCCTTCTTCTGGATGTTGCATGAGTTTTAATGTCATCCAACTTACATGTTGCTGTACAGATTATTAATAGACTATAAAAGAACAGACTTTCTGATATTAACATTGACTTGACTCAAATTATTTCTAATTTATTGATAAAATTACTTTCTAATTCTTTTTAGAGCTTGATAAATTCTAGTTTAAATTTAAATAGAAAATACAGTTATAAAGACAAAGAGCCAATCTGCCAACCCTTCTTAATTTCCTAAAAGTTCAATATTGACTAAACCAACTTTTTTAATTTAAAACTTTCCTTGATAGAAGGAAAGTTGCTTTCCTTGCAAGAAATATTCTTTAATCAATTACAAAAAATGCTTGATAATTTAGAAATATACCAAATTAGATATTAAAAGCATAAACAACATAGTTCTGTAGGCAAAGTTATACTTGCAAATATAAATAGGAAAGTGGAGAAATTAATCTAAAAGCAAACAGCTTTGTCTATTTGGTGTAACCACAAAAGTGTTCTTCTGGAACACTTGAAATCTCAAAAGTAATGCAGATACTGCTTAGAATAAAGCAGGTGGTGACAATATGAAAGTAAATAGGTATTCTGGAATCTTCTCTTTTTGATTTTATTGTACCAAAGGAGTATCTCTGTCTGACTGTTATAAGGAATTTTTTTCCACAGTGTAAAGAAGTGGAGCAATATGAATTTCAGAAAAGGCCTGCTTTGACATCAGCACTCACAGTATTATTGGAGAGTTACAAAGAAAGCATTAAAAACATTCTGCCCCTCTCCAACAACAAGCAGCAGTCAGTGATGTTGTAAAAAGAGGGAGGGGAAAAGGAAAAGAAAAAGCTCACCTTAACAATGCATTAAAATGCTTCAGAAAGCAAAAAGAATAATTTCATACACTTTTTTTTTGTAGGCTGTGCATGCTAAATATTCATTTAATTTTAAACCACATTATGATGTAACTTTATGAAAATTGACAAGAAATACATCCATAATAACAAACATACCAATTTTAGCTGCATCAAGAGCTGTTGAAATCCTTGGTGACTTTTTCTGAAGGGCCTTTTTTTTGCCATCTGTTCTCTGTGGTGAGCTGCTGCCTTGAGGCTGCTGCTGGTCTTCATCTTGAGCAACAAATGAAATTACACCTAAAACAAATAGATACCAGGTGTTGTATTACCCAGGAATTAGCTGCACAAAAACAGACTGCCAGACATGCACGAGTATTTCCTCTGTTCAAAACTAATACAAAATGAAGTAAAGCTTCCATTTCAGGTGTCAGCCATCCAATTATAATTTACTATATTAAAAAATATCTCTTGAGTGAGTGCAAGGAATTAACCATTTTCTGTCCCCAAAGAGCTCTTCTGCCTGCCTGAAGAGATCCATAATGAGCACCTGAAAAAGATCAGTAGTAGGAAATGCAATACAAACAAGGACTTCCTAAAAGTTACAAAATCTGGTGATCACTAATTGGATTTTTCCCAGCTCAATTTTCTGTGCACAGTCTTGATTGTTTCTTTTATTTCTTTTTCAATCACGGTGTCTCATTCTACTGCTATAAGAGAATTGCAATATTTAAAATATTCCTTTGATACATTTTTGTATTGTATGTTAAACTGTAATGAAATATGACAAGAAAATAAAATACAGAGACCATAAAGCCTGAATTTATAAATTGCCAGATCTCTATTTAATAACGTAAAATCCAGTAGGTACAGGGTGTCTTTAAATAATATTAATGTTATTCTAGAAGATTTGATATACTGGCTTTAAATTAGCAGGATTCATTTCTTCCACTTTGTGCCTCTAAGAATTTTAAATCTACACAAACTTTTGAAAAGCTATAGAATATTCTTCCTGCATCTAAATTATTATCCTTCAATATTTAAATACATTTTTGAGAGTTCCTAAGCCAAAATAAATACATTTTTCTGGTGTAATTCTTGGTTCATAGAAAATCTGAGGAGGTGACTTAATTTATGCTATTATAGTAAGAAATGTTCTCATTGTCATTATTAGAATTTATGTGAAACATCTCCAAAAGGGAATTTGTTCACTGTGTCATACCAAGGACTTGAGAAAACTATTATTAATGGAACTTTTAAAATTTGAAATTAGGAATTCTTATGAGAGTCCCAGAACAATTTAATTTGAAAATATCTGTATCTAATGGTATGCTTTGTTTCTGCAGCTTTGACTGGGGCAGAGGTGTGACATGACAAACACTGACAAACTATTCCTACTAAGAACGATTACATTAAATGATAATAAGGAAGAATCTCTTTTTCTTTGAGAGACAGTAACTGAGAAGCACAAGTATTAAACACTGAAGTTAAAAACAAAATTAAAAAAAAATTGAAAGACGTTTCAATCCACAGGAACAATATAATATATAACTTCAAACTTAAGGAATAGAATCCCAAATTTTCTTTCATCAAGAATATTCTACTTAAATACAAATGAGCTAAACTAAACTAATTAAAAACAAACCAAAAGAATTTCTAATTAAAAATTTTTAAAAAACTACTAAAAGTACTCTCATTAAGTAAGTCAGAACTTGGGTCTAAATAGGCAGAGGAGTGACTACAATTTCAGGAAATTATTGATTTTTTTTTTTTTTTAAATCTTAAAGATAAGGTAAATGTGCAAGAAGGAAAAAATAATAAAACCATTATGGAAAGGATAATGAAGACTGAAGAAAATGCTCAAGGTATATAAATCTTAATGTAAGGGAACACATGGAATGGCACTAATAGGAAATGGATCACTGGATAAATGACTAATTAATGACTAATGACCATAGGATACCGACTAACTAATCTGATTTCACGTCTTAATATAAAATCTTAGTATTATTTTTCTATCAAATCACAATATTAGAGAGAAGCAAAGTGAAAGAGAGAATTCATTATTTAAATACCGATCCTTGCCATCAATGTGCTTAACAGTTGTCAACAATTAGAAGAAAATGAGTAAAATATGCAAAATTATAGCTTTGAAGTTGATAAAAAGTCTTGGCTAAATTCTAATCAATACATTCATAAATTCTATCAAATTCTTACAGTAAAGAATATTTTGTTACACTTAATTTTAAATTTTTAGTAATTTTTCCTTAGCATTCTTCCTTCCAGTGACCATGGAGGACTTTCTTTACCAATTTTCTGTATTTCAGAATCACGAATTATTCATAAATGAGTGTGGGAGAAAGAGGGTCAGAACAGGAGTAATCACAGGAGCAATTTAAGTAATGAGATAGTAAAACAGAGAGTGACTTTTGTTCTCTGCACAAAACATGGCTTCAGAAGCAACAAAATAATTTGCTGAAGCACTTGAATAAGTAATTTTTATTTGCAGCAAATATTGGAATGCTCAAAAATTCCAAAATAATAAATTACTAATGCTCAAGAATATTTCAAGAGCTTTGAGAGGAACTATGGTAACTAAAAACTACTTGAATTGCTAAAACACTGTGGTGATAATCCACCAATTGCATGATCAAAAAATCAGTGAAGAATTGCAGTATAAGTGCTGACACTCCATTTTCCTCCTTTATGAAAACCAGAGCTCAAACAAACAGAGTTAATAACAATGAGGTTATAATCTTGATCGATAAAGGTGAATTAATTGATGCGGTGAATACAGATCTCTACAATGCTCTCAATTAAATCTGTCAAAGTACTTCTAGAAAAAGTAATGAGTTTTATTACAGATAGCATACATTGTGTAACTCAGTTTATCTGCTTAATCTTAAAATATTCATAAATCATCTTTCGTAATTCTCATGGGCATCAAAGTATCTACTACTGGCTCAAAGCTATTTGAATTTTTTATTAGGAGAAAATAAAAGAAAATCATTGCTGGCAAGAACTGCAAATAACAAAAGAAAAAAGGTGTATTAATTTCATGTCAAATCTAAAATGCAAAATCCTTATCACTGAGGACAGTACATAGTATGAGCTGCATGACTTGAGTATATAAATTAAAGCAGAATATTTTCCAAGGAAGTATTCCTAATTAGAATGCTCTCCTGGTTTGGGAGTAAATGGTGTAACCCACTGACCCTTATTGGATCCTAAGATAGCAGATGATACATAAATATATTAATTTATTCAAATTATGGGCTACAAAAATATTCCTGTCAAGAGATGTCTTGCAGGATGAGAAAAAGAGCTTTATACACGGAAGAGTAATAAAAAGTACTTTGTGCACTATGAAGTCATAAATAATACATTGGAAATGTGCAGGAACACTGCATCAATAAATGACAGATTTCAAATAAATACAAAAAGCAATTTTACATTTCTCATTTGGTTCTGCTGAGCTTGGCTTCTTTGCTTTTGAAGAGCTTTGACACAGAAAGTTCTGGTCTTCTGGCTGTGAATGCACAGCCATCTTACAGAACTTTTACTTATCAGTGCATCTCACTTTTCATTATGGATGCTACAAAACAACTGATAAATGATAAACTTTTCATGCACAACAGTCCTCATTGTTAGTTGTTTTTTTTTTTTTTTAATCCAGTTGCTCAGTTATGACTTCGGTGTCACACATCACACAACAGTGTAACTTGCCAAAATGTCATGGCAGGCAATTTTTAAAGACCAAACCAGACTTCACTTACACCCCAGAGATACAATTCCCACTGATTCAACTTGCTACAGAATTATGGCATCATCATCTATTTTAGAAAATTACTCCTTAGCTGTATTTATATATAAGTACATAGCTGTACATATATATATATATGTACATATATATATAGATATATGTACTTAGGTGTACATATATATAAGATATCAAACTTGCAAATATGATCCTAAACTTGTAAAAGCAATAATACAAGTATTTATAGAATTCCACTGAATGTTAATAATTAAAATTTACATAAATTGAGGACATTATATTTTTGCTGACACATCATTGATTTACAAACTTTCTTGGTCAAAACATCATTGCATATTTTCTAGCTTTACTAGCCAGTGCTGAAACATTTTATACAACTACAGTCCAAATATTAATACCAAAGCCCTGCTTTCTATTGCTTCAGAGAAGATGAACCCCTTTAAAAGGAGGCAGGCTATTTTATTTCTCAATAAAATTGCAAGTACAACACTCCATGTTAGACTGACTCATTGGCTATATACTACACAGCCCCTGTATCCCTGAATACAAGTAAGAAAGCAAGAAGTGCTCAATGCTTTCCTTTCTGTATAACTTAAATGGAACATTTGAAAGATACATAGTGTGCATGATTACTTTCTGCTGCAGAGAGATGATAAAAGTCCACAATATCCCATTATTTTAACTGGAAAAAAAAAAACCCAAAAGGCTATATGGCTACAGAATTCATCACACAAATCTGAAAAGATATAGAAACATTTTGGTTTTGGTTTAAATATACCATCATGAACTTAATAAGGTCTTGGGAGTAGGAGGAGAGGTTTATTCGCTTTTCCTGGTTATTTTCTGGACAATGAAATCTATGTACAGTCGCTGCCACAGAAAAGTTCCACAGAAGACATAACAAAAATTAACAAGATGAGTGTAATTTACATAATTTTTCGTTCTTCTAGATTTTCTATTGACAAACAACAAAAAAAAAAAGAATATTTACTGTAGGTTAGTACAAAAATTTACAATCTCTGTTTTTCCAAGGAAAATGCCTATGATGAGACATGTAAATCCCAAGGAGTTTCTGTGACTCCTACTACTTGTTGGTATACTAGAATTAAATAAATTGTTCCCTACAACAAAAAGATAAGAATAAGCTTTAAGACTCGTACCAAGAAGAAATTTTCAAGTGGCAAATCCTACTATCAACTGTCATTCATATTTGGCTTTGTGGCATTTAATAAAGAGGTGGATTGTTTTGTTTATAATGCTCACTGCCTCTTCTTAATGTGACAATGAAACCACAATATGGAAGAGCACAAGAGCCTGCAGCTCCTGATGGATAGATGGATGGATGGATGGATGGATGGATGGATGGATGGATGGATGGATGGATGGATGGATGGTGTGTGTCAGGAACATCTTGCTGGGCCATGCCAGCAGCTCCTGCAGTGCACTCTGTTGGTCCAGCAGAGCCATTCACAATAATCAAGCAACCAGAAGAGCCTTCAAGCTTTGTCTTTGCCACCATTGAATTAGACTCCATTTGTCAGGGTGATGTGGGTGAAGAGGAAGTGCTCAAGGCAAACAGACAGGTGCTGGAAATACAGCTTAGGCTACAAGAAACTACAAAGATCATTTTTCTCCCTCAAGGGTGTTTATGATTCCATTGAAATTATAGTGATCAGTAGATCAATTTGAATTCCAGCAAACAAATGGACTCTTTTTTTCTTAATGCCAGTGTCAAATAGATAATGACAAACAAGTTAAATCAACTAATTTAGGCCAGAATGTATTGGTGTGAGCTTCACCACCTCAAAACTGTCTTACAGTTGCATCTGACAGGCCCTAAAATAATATTAAATAAAATTAATTATTTAAAATAATTAATGTTATTTATAGGCCTGGAGCATGCTGCCGTTTTTCCTCAATTTAAGTTTCTAAGCAGCACGGAAAAGCACTGCCTATTAAACACAGATCTAGTTAAAATATTAATGAAAGGTGAGACATAAAGTTAGAAAGCTCCTTTCCAGATGCTAGGGGGTTGTATGAATAAAAGGACACTGACTATGAAAGGTTCGTGGGTTTTTTGCACAAGACATATTCGAATATTAGGAGTTTTGCTGTATTCTGGAAAAATTCTGGTCTAGTCTGTGGAAAGCAGAAATAAAAATTTGATAAAATATAAAGTAATATGTAGAAGATGCTTTATCAAACCTAAAGAAAATTGCTCAATTACTCAGAAACAGACTGCTGAAGAATTTTATGTAGTGACAGAATCTTGTCTGAGGTGTTTATTTGCTATTATTTCTCTGTTAAAGCTGTCACGCACCTAAAAACTAGCTGAAGCATGTAATATTAGTACTCTATTGGAATGCTTCCAAATGGGCTTTAGAAAATAACTGGGCCCATTTTTAGCTTAGCAACCATAAAACAGCAAGACAGAAAGCAAAAGCAGCATAATTTGGCAGCTATATAATTTTGGAAATAAAAGGACTTTGAAAGTAAATGAAAAATGCAAGCCATTCGCTCAGTACATGGTAAAAGTTCTTTCATTAGAATTTATTTTAATATGAGGAAAACAGTATTAGAAAACCAAGGCTATCAAATTTTACATTTACAAGTTAGGAAGTTCTAGTTTTGAAATTATTCATCAGCACTAGGACAGAGTCCTCAGCTAGGTATCAAAATAGTTCTTTTTTCCTTGCAGAATACAATTTACTCCCTCTGCAGATAGCTTTCGAGCATTGCTTTTTATTTTGTCATTCAAACTGTTCACCCCATGGATTATTTTCTTCCTTCTAAACAAATTCACCAGACTGAATAAAGAATACTTTTTTCTTTTTTTTTTTTTTTGAGGGGGGCAGAGAGGAAGTGTTTAAATTATACTTTTCTCATAGTATCTTGACCCTAGAAAGGCTTAAGATTCCTGAGTATTGCCTAATTCCCACATAAAACACCTAAATCTAATCTGTGATCCTCAAGATTCAGGATGGCTGTTGAAATATCCTGAAAGCCAAAAAATGCATTCATATATATATATATATATATATATATATACATACATACATATATTTGACATTGAAGTTTCTCAGGACATGGAAATGAATAAATATGACTTCCCAGCCTTGCACACTCTGATGCAGACTTCCATGCTCCTTGAGCCACAAAGAAAGCACTTCCTAACACATTACCTTACATAGGACACTTGGTAGTCAGGTTTCCATCAAACCTAACATCAGACAGCAAAATCAGCTGCTGCTTTTCAGACCTGTGATAGTGGCCTCTCTTCCCTCCACCCCTCTCCCTGCTACAGCAGCTGAATGATTAGAGAGTGTGCACAGATTTCTGTGAGAGAGCCAAACCTGTCTCTGTTGCAGGGGAAGAATGAACACAATTTCTTGAGGCAGTGATTAAAGCAAGCCCTGAGCCAGGGGGTGGATTGCAGATAACTCGGCCCTGTCCTTTTCAAAGGATAACTTTACCCTTCTATCAAGTTATTTTAAAGTGTAAAATAAATGAACTTTTTCTGAGAAAAAGGGCAGATGTGGCTTCCCAGCATTTGAACCAGTAACTTTTTGTTGGGTTAGAGAAACTGACTGTTCTCTCTTTTGTCACTCAGTGAACGTATAATACTTCAAAATATAATGGAAACCATTGTGATAGAAGTCAAGGGAAGGAGAGAACATTGGAGATGTAGATCTGAACATGCCATCTATGTCCCTTTGAAGGCATGGCTTTTATCACCTGGTATTAATTTGCTATCTGATAGATCCCTTGGAGCCTCTTCTACTGAATCTTTCATTATATATAAAAGAACTGGGGATTTTCTAAGGCAGCAGAAGAGACTATTCTTAAATATTTAATGCTTAAAAAAAAAGCCATGTTAAAATACAGTACATCCTCCATATTTCCTGGTGCACATTTTTGATGGTTACAATTTTATTGAAAGCTGATTTCTATTCATATAGCGTGATTATTTTTTTTCCAGGGCTACAGATCAGGGCACTGAAGTCCTATGGCACTAGGCCAAGCCTTGTTACAAGTATTAATTTCTTTGCACAAGTCACTTGTGAGTTGAGATGGCATTATTAGTTACGTTTTACATATCAGGTACCAAAAACAAAATGACCAAAGGAGCAAAGCAGTTTGACATCCTCAGGGACAAGATTTAATAGCTTTTTAATGCTAAGAAAACAGCTGTCATTAATCTCAATTGTCCAAGAATGTAACAGAATCAAGTACTTGGAGTTAGGAACACACAAACTAGAAACTACACACACTAAGCATTTTGTATTGAGAGATTTATCCATTATTGGGAAGTTCAAATCTTTCCCTGAGTGCTACTCAGTTCCTTTAGGAAGGTCTCCCCTGTTTTCATAATTCCCTCCCAAACACCTTTGTACTCTTCTCTTCTGTTACTACAATAGTTACCCTACAGGGAAGACAGAGATTGATTGTACGGTTTCATTCTCAAAACCTTGCTTTTTACATTATGAGCTAAATAATGAGCACCATGGAATTTTAGAATCACTACCAAACATATAAAAATTATGAAATCTGAATTGTTATTAAATAAGAAAATCAGGAAAAACATTAATGATGGGATGCTGACATTGGTTAAAATAATCAAGAATTTTGCTATTGCATCATAAGAATACCATTATAAACATGGATGGATACAAATTATGTACAATTAATTAGAGATCTCCCTAGCCTCCACATATGTCAAAGAAAGAACCGAGTTCACTGCATTCTAGTTACTACTCTTGCCTTTTGGTCAACAGATTGAACATTAATTAAGAGAAAAAAGAAAATTCTGGTCTTTGCCTTTGCATTTTTTGTTCTATTAGTGCTAACATATCTAAAGGGATTCCACAGTTTTGGAAAATTAAATTTAGATCCACAAACTCGGTGATAATTCAAAAACCATTACTTCCTATTTAGTCAATTTTCATGAGACCAATTAAATGCATAAAGTTGTTCATATGTTGGCATTTTTGAAGAACCTGACCACACATTTAGCAGTAAGATGCTAAAAGATATTTAAAAATAAAAATATGAGCCAGCTTAAAAACCTGAATCACCAGTAATGACCTTACTTCCAGAAGAAAGGTCATGCAAAAAAATTGCCAGCATAAGGTGTAAGGAGATTTAATCTGCTAATTTGTGGGAATATTTTATGTATTTGAGTTCTAAACAGTACCTTGAAAGACTCCTCGTCTGCAGGGAGATATACTCAAAGTGTAAGCAGCAGTGTCCTCTGGGTTGACAGTTACATCAGGGGCACCACTCAGCATTGAGAGATTGGAATACACCTGGGGAAGACAAATCACATACAGGAATCTCATCAAAAGCAAGTAACTGTTGCAAGAACACCATAGAGACAGTAGAATAGAAAATATGGTATCTGTAAGTCCTGAATTTTATGCAAATGAAAGAATACACACTATAAGAGAAATGCTGGTATATACAGATCATAGCAAGCACAAAGTAAGAGATAAAAAAAATCCTGTAAAGCAACAGTTTTCATCTTCCCCAGTAACTCTACATTTCAAACTGGATATTAGAAGTCCAGCAACAAGAAACAATAAGAGACTACTTGGGAAGAGGAAAAAAAAGGCTAAAAAAGAGACAAATGAAAAGACTTGTTGAATTGGCACTTGGACAAAAATAACTGGAAAAAAGAATATTTATGTTGTCAACAAAGAGCAAAACATAGAAAGGTTGGGCTGTTACAAACTTCAGATGGCAAAGATTAATTTATTGAAATATAAACAATAAATTAGTCACACTCCTATATTATGGACTTTTCCATTTCCGTTTACAATGAATGTACACAAGGGCAAAGGATAAGTACCTAAAAATACAGCTAGGATAATAGAAATGACAGCAAATGACTAGCGATAGAAATAAGATTAGTTAAAATGAGATTTCTATTTAAGGAAAAAGTTATATGGAGACAGAAACAGAAGTAGGATAAATGTGATTAATTTAAATTGGATAAAAAGCAGAAGGGTAGGGTAATGCAGTTCTATCAAAGACAGGACATAGCAGACAAATTTCTACCAAAAGATGTCAAAGTAAAAAGAACACTACTGGCATGATTGACTATAATAAACATGAAATGCTTACAGATTGCTGATAAGTAAATATGGACTGCCATTTTGATTTTCAGTCATTCAAGAGAAATTTTGGACACTTTTTCATAGTAGTGAACTAACAAAAGCTTAATTATTTTGAAGTTTTTAATCTTAAGGAAGCAACCGTATAACAAAATAGGAAGAGGCTGAGTAGAAGCAATGAAATGATGTCAGTACACACATGGCCACTGTTTCAGTGCTTGAATCCAGATCCTGTATCAAGACACATGAAGGAATTCTCCCTCCCCTGTCCTGCATCAGATTAAACTTCTTGGGATCAGATGCTCACTAAAACTTGTACATAACTGATGCTGGCCTCAGTCTGCTGTCACCTTTCCAACTGCAGTCATTAAACTTGTATTCCTCAAACTACTTGCTATTGCAGAGCTATAACACAAATACTCACCATCTTATTCAGGAATCACCCCCATTCATTTACTAACCCTATTTGTCTCTGTTATTTAAGTTACTCATACCTCAGCCAATCTCCAAGCAGTGGTCACAACAAATCAGTCTCCTATTTCCAACCTCCTGAGAAGGTTTATGGTTGTGACAGACATCACTCACCAGGTACTGCTCATGTGCTCCTTAAATAGAATTTTACCTTGCTCCAATGGCCACGTGATTTATCAACTCTGTTACTGAGACTAATTAAATGATCAACCTCAGATGACAAATGGATACTAAAAGTGCATACCCACGCTTGCCCATGCACCAGGCAATTTATTCTAATATCAGAAATCATGCTGAGAACCATTCTCATTTGTTCACAGACATTTGGGATTCTAATATGGCATAATGTTGCATAACATGTCTCTGCCAACTGCAGGTCTATTACAAAATAACAATACCTCCAGGAATATTCAGAAAGATAAAAACTTGGAGAATTTAAAAGTACACATAGAGGAAAGTCCAGAAATTGTGGATTTATATATCAATAAGTAGTTGCAAAGATTTTGTAAGTTTAGAGGAAAGCTTTGAGTGAAGCAACAAAAGAATTTATACACAGTAAGCTTTAAGTTAACTTTGTTCTGAATATCAGAGAGAAAGCTATGTCATATTAAAATGCATTTTTATGAGGATTATATATAAGAACAGGGCAAATTTTAGGCAGAGATGTAGCATTGAATAACCTTATATCCTATAATAATCTAAAATACTGTGTTCCCAAAGGTACCTTAATATACCTAAAAAAATCTTCTATGGATGACTATTGTTAGGCAAATACACCTAAAAAAATCTTCTATGGATGACTGTTGTTAGGCAAATACATTTTGAAGGAAGAAAACAGGGCATAAATTGGGGTGCTTTTATCAACCACAAAAGTAATATTGATTAACAAGCTATTCAAAATTAGTCAAGATATGGAATTACTTTTCCCAGTTATTGGGAGAATTGTCAGCTTCTGTCCTGATGTGCAACCAGAGAATGATGAACAAATACAGGCAGATTAACCAGAAGCCACACCAAGGGTGGAGTTGCAGAGATATGTACTTACACACAGTATTTATACTGAGAGAAACAGGCAGGTCTGCAGATAAATACCAAGGAATACACACAATTTATCAGGCATAAATAATTTCATAAATAATAAATAATAAATAGTTTCTTAGAATATGTTACTATCACTCAGGAGACTAGAATTGCAGAATAACTCAAAGGAGCCAAAATGTAAATTAGCATTAAAATTATCATTGTGACCCTGCACAACATTTGCTCAAATCAATCCATACCCAAGGATTTGGCTTTTAAATTATAGTATTCTCCATTTTGTTATATATCAAGTAATTATTTATGCACAGCCAGAAAGTATAAATGGAATATATGTATAAAATGCTGCAATTAAAAACTAATTTATCAGTCACTGGTTTGGAAACTCATTCTGCAGAACTGTAATATAGCTATTTAACATGAACAGAAATGGAAAACGAAATTTCAAAATTACAAAGCTTTTTTCAGAGCTGAATAACCAAATAAGCATAATTTGAAAACCTTCAAGGTAACAAGATGAATGGATGTAAGAATATAATTAGATATACTTAAGCGCCATTGTGTCTAAGTATAACAAAGTTAGACAGTAATATATTCAAGGTTTCCATCTGAAAATTGTTTCTCAGGTCTGTTTAACAATTGAGAGTCTCACCTTAGCAAAAAGTCAGTGCTCTTTGACCCTAGGCCAGAACCCAATCTGTGGAGTCTCTGATCAACCTGATAACCAGACTCTACAAAACTCTCAAGAATAGCAGTTTTCCAAAACAAGCCCCCATTACTTTCCCTCACCCACCTTTCAGTGCAAACTTTCCAAATTCCCGAGTCACTAGGAATTCATTTAATTCTTGCAATCACTCTTATTTTGCCATCAGCATGTTACCACACTGAAGTAAAACATCTTTGCATTGCAGTGAGGATTTTCCCCAAATACTTCCTGCCTGATGGGCAGCAATTTGGAGTTCTACATAATGAAAAATGCTACATAATCCAGATTTGTTCCTAAACCAGGCCACCTGTCAAGACCACTAACACATTTCAACTAACAGATCTGACCTAAGACTTTACTATGTCCTTAATTGATCTAAAAATGTCACAACTAGGCATCAAAAAACACCTGGCAACAACTAGAGTTATTCTTAAATTCTGTAGGCCTTTGAACCACTCATTATTGCTATGAAGATTGTATTTTCTTTAGTAAAAAGAGCCCTGTTACAGAAATTCTGGTAGATACAGTGGGAGCCAAAGGAATTGAAATTGGAAGGACAAACAAAATTTGAAGCAGTATGGAATACACAAATCCACTTATTGTTAAAGAATATAAACTTGACCTTGAACAATCAGGTTACTGCACTTGCACATAATTTATTCTCAAAAAATCTCAGATACATTACCAAACAAGAGTTAGGCTAAACAGGGAAGCCCCTCATTAAAAGTTTATGGCACATAAATTTATTACTGTGAGGCATTTTTCACAAATACCTAACCTTCATGACATGGTCTTGGTGACATTGTAAAAACTCAAAATAGATATATAGAGAATAGATGTAACCACACTGAAAAACAAGGGATTTCTTTTTTTTTTTTTTTTTCATTATGTATTTATTCTACAATTTTATAAAATACTAACAGTTTGTATAAACTAATGCCTGAAACATAATTTAACTGGGTCTTGTGAATCCTCTGGAGAGTTTACTTTAACGACATCTATTTTGAACAGCAATGAGAAAAACAGTTGCACAGTTTTATATTTTTATTGCAAAACCATGACTTGAAAGAATTAGGCCCCTTTATAGCTAAAGTTTCTATCAAAGGTATCATTACAAGAAGCCATCAACACATCAGACAATTATTTATACCCAGCTGAAATAGATTTATATAAATAAACAAGAAAATTGCATAAAAAGTTTTGTCATGAGACCGAGAGATTGGATTTTCATAAAATGCTTTACACTTCCCCCCATGTCAGAGGAATTTAATGTAATTTTACAGACATGAAAATTCATTTACACTGCAGTAATTTACCTTCTATTAATTCATCACCAGAGAAGGGTGTGCTCTCTGACTGATTCTATTTATGTACAAATTCTTTATGAATTCCATTGTGATTTTTTTTCATATGCAGGAGTAAGTTAATCACAAGGAAGACTGTTGTAAGATTCCCCTAGAACCAACCACAAAAAGCACAGTGGCAGCAGTTCCCTAAGGTTTACACATCAATCAGTAGAGAAGAATTCATAAAACCATTCACATTTTTCAAGGGAATTTATGGAAATTGCCTTTTTAATCACAGAAAGCTTTGTGAGCACTGAAAGTGTTTTGCTTAGAAGTTTTAAAAGCAGACTGATGGAGTCATGCACATGACTTCCAATGAATTGCAAAGGCACTTCTTCCCTCCCCAGCTCCAGGTCCACACTAACAGTTGCACAGACAATCAAACCACATATATAAAAATTATTGCTGCCCCAGACATAAACCCTCTCCATATGATTGAAAAAGCAAAAAACAATATTCAGCTGCAAGAGGGCTGTCTTTCTGCAGTTAAGGCAAGGATTATTTCCCTCTTCTTCCTTCCAGACTTAAATTTCATTTTAAATAGTCCCTTTTGCAATGGTACCCTCATTTTGGCTTAGGCTAATAGAAAAATACAGCAAATATGAGAATCAGAGTAGCATATATATAGCATTATTTTTAATGAAATGAGGTTTTTTGTTAAGTTTCTAGTTTAATGTATTCAATAGCGAAGCTAAATTTACACATCCAAGACAAAATTACCCAAGGATTTGTTCAGCTAAATTACTTGTTGCAGTAATTGTTTATGAACGTGCCTGTAAATTATTATGTTTGTGTTGGCTACTGGCACATCTCATGCCATTCTTGATATAGGTTGAGCTTTATTACTCCAGTAAATGAAATTCTTGTATTTTTTTTTATATCATATGCATCCCAGTTAATCTATGAGAAATTACTTCATATGGTGGATATACTCCAGCAATGCAGGGTGTATGGTGCACATCAACCAACCAATTCAATAATGAAGGTACTCATTAGCTCACAAAATTACAAAATATCCCATTAAAAACACATCCAAAACTATTACTTCTTGTATTATCTTTGCTCTGTCTGCCAAGACTGACAACATTGCCTCTATCAAACAACCAACTTAGCTACAGCACAATACAGAAAACTGTCAAAGATGATGAATTAAAAAGGAGGAGGAGTTATTGGGCTGCCAGAACTGCTCCCAGGGGAAACACAAGCAAAGACAAAACCAGAGCTCTGCTTCACCACAGACTACCCAGATATTACAGTAATCAGGCAGCATGGAATGAACAACAGCAACAAAATTAGAATAACTTCTTTTTCCTGTTGCCATTTGTGCTATATACATCTGAATAAATAAAGTTTATTTGGCATTTCCAACAAGGCTGTGGGTCACAATTCCCTCTTAGAGGAGGTTTTATGCATTACTCTAATAACTACAGATACCTGTGATCATGTTCTGGATTTAGTAATTAAATCCTAATTTACAGGCAGACTCTTTTGGAAATAGAAACAAGCAAATGATCTTTGCTCACTCCAGTAGCACAAGACACTACATGACATCTGCTGGAGAGTGCTGGAAGTGCTTAATATTGTTTGCTTTGTGGAGGGGACAGCTTCCAGACTCCAGCAGGCTTTGTAACCATGCCTTTCCAGCAATTCCAGCCCACCTTGCTCCAACAACTGCTCTGCAACTGCTCCTGGGCAAGAACCTCGCACAGAGAAAATGCATTGTTCACACCGAGTCATTTATTATATGCACACATGCATGAAATAGCTGACCTTACTGTTTCTCTCCCAAAGGTCCCAGAGCAAAAAGAGCACACACAGTTGGACTGTTAAGCAGTATTTCACAGAGATGAAAAAAGCACATCACAAACCAACCAAAACTGGATTTCAAGGCCCAGAGAACACCCTCAAGGAGATCATAGTTCAGTCAGACAGAGCTCACCCTGGAATAGTTCCAACTATCATAAATTCATTTAATGCAATATTTCTGAAAAAAGACATATAATGAATAATTTTAATGTATTCGTTTTGAAGTTTGTGATTTCTGTACCTTTCACTTACAATGGCACTAAAAAAATTGAGTTCACACAAAATAGGAAAGCAGAAAAAACAGTTCTGTTGCCAAAAACATTCACTTCTTCTAGAGATAAAAGTATAAATATATCAGAAATGCAAATGCATTCACGTCTAAAAAACTAGACTGTTGAAAATAAAAATGTCAAAGCTGGTGATGCCCAAAGAATTAATTTCTTACTTTTTTGGGGATGATTACAAGTCAAAAAATAGGAATATGAACCTGGACCTTTCTGTGATATATGAAGTTTACCAAATGTAGATTGACCTGTATAAGAGGAAACCTGGAAAACTGGACACTGGCAAGAAGACATCCAAGGAAGGACTTTCACACTGGCATGAATTATCATTACTTAATGAGTAATTAATTACTTCATTGTTGCTGGTATATAAATGATCTCTCTTTATATTGTATGGTCAAATCATTAATTACCATTACCTTTCCATTTGAATAAAGCAGCATTTGGACCTACTGGCACCAAGACGGAGAACAAAATCACTCAGTTTGCAAGTCCACACTAGTCAGCCAGTCAGATTTTATCTTCTAGCATGCACACTGTCCCATTTTCAACCCTTGCACAGAAGTAAAACTAAATATATATATTTACAGATGCTGACAATTGTTACCTGGCACTCCCCTGCATTGCTTCAATAGATGGAACCATCCTGGCAAACACTGTATGGCCATAATATCTGGATGTTATCTACTCTAGATTTAAATGCCAAGATAGTGTTACAAATATGGATTTTCTTGAGCAAGATCCAAGATGTTCCTGCTTAGGAGCTTCTCTGTAGCTAAGAAGAAAAGCAGAATTTTGTCCTCATTGCCCTAATGTACCTTCTGCCTCTGCTGGCATAGGACATGGGATCCAAGTCAGATGCAGAAAGTGAGGAATGCTACAAAAATAGTTTTATCGCTTCCAAATTAAACACACAGACAAGATAGATAGTAGCAAAACAATGCTATTTCAGTAATACAATAGTGGTTTTAAATAGAAAAATGTATATGCGTAAACATGGGTATAAAATATAGTTATTGGAAATGATGAAAAATAATTATTATATTTAATAGTAAAAATATGTTCTTGAGCAAGGAAATCAATAAAACTGTATTCCTTAAGAATTTTTATTAACTTCCTCAGTGAACCCATTGCCTTTCAACAACTCCAGTGATTACCTCTGAATTTTCTCTTCTATCACCAAACACACAAAGCATTCCCAACTTCCTCCAACATTGCTGAAACAACAGCTGGGCAATAGACAGTAACTGGGCCAGACCAATGGGCCATGAGAAATTAATGTATAGTGAGCTCATGTTGCAATCCTTCCCTTAGGAGGATAATAATTTTTGTCCTTTTCATATAATATTCAATATTTTATGAAGATTTTCAGAACCCAGTAATTCCCAGGCCCCTGATCTGATTTCAAAACTGATGGACTTGGCCACAGATTTCAAATAATTGGAGAAGGAAAGATTAGCAAATGTACACAGAACAACTGTAGAAGTGTCCCCTCAGACTAAAACATGAAGAAATCTTTTTTCCTATCAAGCATACAGTAAAATCATACATTATCTCACAGATTTCCTGACTATAAACATATAGTTTATATGTTTATAGAAGGGTTACTTATGCTTCAAATAACATTTTTTTCATCTTTGGCAGTTCACATATTTCAACAGCAACTTGCAGTCAAAATCTCTCATCTGGGACACAGACAAACCACAAATACTATGAAAGATTGAAAATTTTCTCATGGATACATGAATTTTATTATTCTGCAATTACAATAATTGTTGCTACCATAACACATAATATATCAGTCCTTGTCAGAAAAATATTTGTCAAATTATTGCAAAAAAATTACCTTGTATTTTAGCACCTTCTTGGTATAATTGTGCACCCATAAGATTTTATGAGCGACCTTTCCCACTTGGCACTCTATCACAATGCAATCCTGAGGCAGAGGTTTCTTCCCTATTCCCTTAAGACTAAAGATGTTCTGAGTTCCAGCTGTAACATTTCTCAGAATAAGCCTTCCCTATGATAAAGAAAGGAGAAAAAAGAAGTTGTTTCATTACTGTACAAATCCCTTTTGGCTGCCAAAGGAACTGTTTTCGTTTATTTCTCTCAAAGCTAGGTGACTCAGAGTGCTTACAAGAAAGGGCTCCTATTGACTTTCCTAGTTCTTCAATAAACCCATTGCTAAACAGAGAAGTAAACCAGAGAAAAAAAAAACTTTTATTTTAAATTTTTCTAAACTACAAAATTCAACAACATAAAGCTTTCATATTTCTAGGTTTTCTACTTCTTGGCTTCTTCTTGAAAAACAAACATCTCCAAGAACATATGATCTCATGACTCCTTGTCTCCCATATAATATTTTACTTTGCTCATTGAGTGTTTCCACCTGTCCTACAAGCACAGGGTTGAGCCTGGAGAAAGGGAGACTCAAGGGAATTGTGTTGCTCTCTACAAACACCTGAAAAGAGCTTGTAGTGAGGTGGGGACAGGTCTCTTCTCTATGTCTCAAGTGACATAGAGAAATAGTGAAATAGTGAAAGGAAATGGCCTTAATTTGTGCCAGGAGAGGTTCAGATTAGACTTTAGAAAGAGGTTTTTACTGAAAGAGTGGTTAGGCATTGGAATAAGCTCTCAAGGACAGTGGTGGAGTCACCATCTCAAGAGGCATCTGGATGTGGCACTTGGAATATGGTTTAGGTGTAACTATGGTAATGTTGGGTTGACAGCTGGACTAGATAATCTTGGAGATCTCTTCCAACCTGGATGATCTTGTGATTCAGCTAAAATAATCTCCATAATCATTTGTCATCAAAAGATTCAGGGCTTTTGTCTTTTAATAATTTTATAATACTGGCTGCCTAAACTGCATGGTATTTGGTTGGTAACACATGCAGAAGGGTGACTTATGCTTCAAAGAACATTTGTCTCATCTTTGGCAGTTTACATATTTCAACAGCAACTTCCAGTCAAAATCTCTCATCTGGGACACAGACAAGCCACAAATACAGCTTCCTGCTAAAGGTGTTATAGCCTTTTCTCTGCTTGTCATTTTTAGTGATTACTTTGATGGCAAAAGCAGCTGTGAAATGGTGGCTTAACTGTAAATAAAGTACTCATTACATAAACTAATTTGTGATGTAGGCATGCAATGAGAAATACTACCCAATTATTTAGATAATGAAATACGATTTAAGTATTTGAATTCAGAATAACAATGTATATTTTTGTGTTAAATGTTCAGAACTTTTACAGAATAACTGTAGGATTGGAGGATTTCATAGAAATTACTAGAATTAAAGAATATAATAGAAAATTAAATAAAGAAGACCTGAAAATATGTGGCGGGGAAATCTATCATACCTAATCTTAAGCTTTACAAAGTTAGTTCATTTGTATTTTTACTTCAGATAGTAGTAAATCTTACCCTTTCATTCTCTAAAGTACATACATGCTTTAATATTAGCAACTGTCTAAACAATTTCATAAATTGGATACTGGTGATAATTTTATTAGTGAAAGCACTGGTGAAATGTTGAAACTAATTTCTCTCTTACCATTATTTCACACTCAGCAACCGGCTTGAACGTGAGTGGATATGGAACTGTTCCACCTACAGGCACATTTATTACAGGAGGGCCATGAAAACACTGTCCTTCCAAAACTGCTTCAAACCTCCAGTCCTCACTGGATATGTTACTCTGAAAGATGCAAATCAAAGAAGTTAGTTAGATTGCATTTAATTTTTTTAATGTGCATTTCAGCTTTCACTTGCAGCTATCACTACATCAGAGGGCAATACTCATTTGCTCCAAGTACTGGCTCAGCGTGCCTTTGGGAAGAATAAAAGCAGTGTATTTTTAAAATTAAATAAGCTAATAATAAATCTGCCAGTTATTCCTGGCAGCCAGAGTCATATAACCCCTATTTTCAGTAGCAATACTATCAGCAGGAATACTCATTAGAAAACATGAGCATGATCTAGCAAATGATCAAGATGGATTTTGTAAGTATCATTATAAACATTTACAAGTATCTGTATAATGGTGTTTAATGCTTGGCAAAATTCTGTTCCTATACCATCTGTAAAAAATCTTGGTGCATCTCTTTAAGGTGCTGATGTGGTGTACTGGCATATATTGCCTCATTCAGCCACTGCAGTGTTACAGGATCAGTCTCATGAATTGAGAATTCCATCTCCAAAGGACAATTTACAGTCCTGCGTTCTCAGAATCTGGTCTTTGAAGAAAATATACTTAAAAGAAAGCCTATCCTGAGCAATATGAGCCTGAGCCTATTTAAGAAACATGTTTATCTTGCACCCAGATGTATCACAAGATTGATTGATTATGGTAAAAAGTGGGATATTTCATAATGCATGCTTATAGGCTGCCTAAAAGTAGTAAAACTAAAATAATGCTATTCAGCCTCCTACTATTTGAAAGAACCAGATGGCCAAATATCCAGTCTGGGAAAAAAAAAAATTAATAAAACACTCATCTGAAAGATAAAATAAACTGTAATTCATTACCTAATTTACGCCTTGTCAAATAGAGAAGATTAATCTCATATGATCTACTGATAATGGTCATCTATGGAAAATTATATACAAACATCAGAGATAAAGAATGGATTTCAGGGAATAGAGATGATACTCCAGTCTTTGTTTCTGTCTATGAAAGTCTCAGGAACAAAGGACCTGTGATCAAGAGGTACCACAGATCTAAGGTTTGACCAATATGTGTGATTAATGCTTCAGTGTTAGTTGCTAAATTTCCCAGTAGCCGAGCACATATGCCTGCATGCAATGTTGAGGTTTGTGTAGTGCCTCAGTTTTACCAAAAACTTGTATCACCATGTCTCCAATTCTGTAATAACAATGACATCATTTCTGGTAGAAAACACAAAAAAAAAAAGTATGATGTCCTTATGCCAAGAATAAAATGAAAACGAAAAAGACAACGAAAAAGAGTGTTTTAGTATCATGCTTGTTTATCTCCACAATATCAGAAAAAGCTTTATCCTTTTGAAAACCAGCTGGCCAGGTGTAAAATTGACAGGTCATCACTCTCTGCTAATCTAACATTTTAAAACATTTTAAAACTTGGGATAGAGGAAAAACATCATCAGGATTGGTCTAGGTTCTAGAAGAGGGCCATGAGAATTTGGGTGCTTGAGTTATTTTGTTTTCAGTGATTTCTAGTACAATTGGTATCAGATGTTTCCTTTATCCACAGAGTAATGGTTACATCAATGTGTAATACAAATATTTCTTATTAATCTCTAACACTAAAATTTGTCATCTGGAGAAACGTAGTTGACAAGCATGATCACTGTGAATATCTTTTGTAACAAATCCTTCTAACACAGCATGAATATGTCTACAAGTGTCTTCTAAAGAAAGATATTAAGGACAACCATCAACATTAGGAAGTTAAAATATTTGTTAAATTCTATTCCCTTATACTTGTTCATTAATGGCTTTAATTAATTAATCATCTAATTCCTATAGGATCTCTGCTTAATGTAAAATCTCATCCAAAACCTGTCAAGTGAATTAATTTAAACACAATTAATGCTAAGGAAGTCAGAATTTCCTCACAGGATTATAGACGGTTCAACCCAAAGTACCTAATAATTGTATTGGACCTACACCTGGAGAGTCTGAAAGGCAGAGATGGAACAGTCACATTCATCTCATGCTTGAGAAAATAATGGAAACTCCAAAATAAATTAATCACAGATCTTAGATCCAGCTGGGTTCTTATTCTGTTTCTGTCACTAATTCATTGTGTGGCTTTAAGCTGACCAGCTGAACATTTAATTTGCTACATTTATAAAGTGTTCCACCTAACACACATTAGGACTGTTTGCTTGTGTCTGTAAAAAGTGCTTTGAGCACGAAATATTTGGTTCAAGAAACTAATTTTAGCAGACTGAATAACTGCATCTTTAGTTCCACAATGAGCATATATTTTCCCACTGAATATATAAGAAAATTTAAATGACAAATACAATACTGCTAATAAAATATGGGAAACTTCGTGGCAGATAGAGAATCTCCAAGAAGAAGGAGTGTATATAGAAATGTAAAGTATCTAACTACTAAAAAGTGAACACTCAAGTGAAAAATAAATCCATCAGAAGAATAAAGCAAATCTGTTTAGCAAGTGTCTGTTTAAACAAGGTAGAAAATCCCCTTACCCTTCTCTGTTATGTATCAGTTGTTCTTACGCTAATGTAACACTCATAAAAATCAATGTTTAATACATAAATTATTAATATATTAAAACTTGTGTGCAAGAAGAGATAGAATGGTAATATGGTTTCCTTCAATTTTCTTTTTTTCCTTTCTGATGTACTCATTTTTTTATACTCTCAATATTTGACAGAGCATTCAGTCTTTTCCCAGATATTCAGTCTTCTTGTTTGAATCTGCCCCTGCTCTTTTGACTACAAAATCTCAGAATAATTTCTCTATAAATTAGCTCACTAGTATTCCTTAGTGGCTCTCCAATCAAAAGGACAAAGACCAAACTGAAGTTCAACTCTCAGGAAATCTTTTACTGGTTCTATCTCTTAAAGAATCTTTATTCCTTCTCCGACAGCCTAAGTTCATTCCCTGTAAATTTTGAGGGGTTTTTTGTTTGTTTTATTTTAAAGTTCTCTAAAATTTGACCAATCATTTTCTGAGAGATGATATTGCACCCATCTTCTCTCTCCAATCTTACCTCTCATGTGCTAAAGGTTTCATATACAAAGCAGATATGATGAAACTATACACAGTATACTGGTTATTCTTACCACATTTTTTAACTGTATATAATCTAGTTCTTCTATTTTATTCCTCAGTATCTCTCCTTTCTTTTCCTTCAGAAATAGTGCATTTCTTCCCTAGATTAAAAAACTACTTTTTTCACTTTCATTGTGATAACATTATTAAATAACACACTAACAATTTTGAGAAGAAAAACATGAAAACTTAGCCCATCAAACTAATAATTAACTTGAAGTAAATGATTTCTTCTAACAGGTTTTACATTATCTACAACATGGACTTTGAGAAATAATCTTCAAGTTATTATTTACATGCATTTCTATATTTCAGGACTGTAAATTTTAACAAGATTGATCTGAAATCCACTTTTTTTAAAATCCTGAATCTTATTTTAGTTAGCAGTAGAGGAGTGAACTTACAATTGGAATTTCCTGAGTCACTGTCTGGTAAGCTGGAGTTAGAAATTCAATCTGTGCATCAGCCTGCTCTGCATTCACCACACATTCAATCTCATAGACACGAATATCACAGGGTGACTTCAGAATAATCTGACAGTGGTAGCAACCAGGTTTCTTAGGAGTGAATTTTATAGGAAACTCAACTGTATCACTTCCACCTAACAAAACAAAACAACAAAAAAAAAATTGTGCTGTTGTAAAGCTTTTCAGGAATATTGAATTCACAGGCAGAATCTGAAGAGGTTTCCAATAAACTGCAGGAGAGTCTTCCCAGCAGTACATGCAAAAATTTCCAAGAATCAACAGAGTTTTAGGAGTGTTACCATTTAAGTTAGTTTCCTAAAAATCATATGTTGAAGTATGCAAACAATATTTTATATTGATTTTAGTAGTGCACAGATACAGTTATTTTAAAATATCTCTTAAATCTAGTAGAAGTGTTTAACATATATGAATTTCTGTAAATATTTTTAAAACTATACAAGCTACTACACATTTTTCAACAGCTACCATCAGAGATACCAGTGATAGTGCAGTATATTTGGCTGAGCATACCCAACTACTGAAATTCTGTTAAATGCAGCAGCTCTCATGACGGCTCATTAGACCTTTTTCTATGCCACATTTTGTACTGAAAGTATGAAAGTATGTCAATTCCAAAACTGACTGGGGTGTCCAAGCTGAAATAGATTCATGCAAAGTCCCATTTTCCCAATCTGCAGCACAGAGAAAAATTCCCCACTGTAATCTCCAGAGCAAGGAAGAAGCAATACAAATTCTGTCCATCTCTGCACAGAGCCAGGTCTAACAAGTGTGCTGCAAAGATTTCCTCCTCTGTGCTTGCTTACAGAAAAGATCAGATTCTTCCACAGGATTTTAAGTAGCCTTTTTAGGACACATTTCTGAAGGAGAAAAGAAGGTACATGAGGAACTCCAGTGATGGCCATAAAGAGCTCCCCAGTCCCAGAGTTTCTAAGAAACCTGAAAACCACATGAAGACTGCAGCTGTAAAAGCTGTACTTTTACATGGAACAAAGACTGATTCTCTGCAGTTTTCCAAGGTTAGAAACCCATGCCTGAAGCTGGAAAAAGATGACAAGTCAGAGACAAGGTTCTGTTGTACTTGAAGAAAAATAATACAGTGTACACAAAGATCCATACATTTCTGGATGAGTTTTACTTTCTTGAACTAAATAGAAATTTTAATTACTAATAACTAGGGTTATTTTTCCCCAAGTTGGACCCATATTTGAAAGGCACATTTTCAAACAGAAATGCTTCCTATAGAAAAATGTAATAAAAAGTACATTCCATAACTATAATATTTAGTACATCATTACTTTAGTAAAAAAAAAAATTGTTTCTTATGCATCTAGAAAATCTATTTTAGGATAAGTCAGTTGAATAACTTAAATATTATGCTCAACTAAAATGAATGAAAAAGAAAACAAGTAAATTGGTTATATTTATTCAACCCAATAAATATCTTCTGCAATGATACATGGATCCTCCAAATCAAAATAACTACAGAAATCATTTGTCTTCAAATTATAGATGAAGACTGACTTCTTCTTCTTCAAAATGTTTTTAAATACCATAAAGAAGGCTTAAAAATGTCTCAGCTTAGCATGTTTTGTTCTCTCAGTCTCATATGACATTCAACAAAGATTAATTTAGGGATATATTCAAAGATTTAATGAATAAAATCCATGAGGCTACAACTGGCTTACCTAACAATATCTGAGAGTGTCAACAGTAAGCCATGGGCATCATTTATTTAATTCCCATGTAGCAGGAAACAGAGCCTGCATCCATCAAAAAGAATGAGGCTGCAAGTATTTCTTCAACAGTGAAAAGTCAGAGCAATACAGGGCTTTGCTACAGCTTCCACCCCTACTCAGGATTTTTATTGTTTCACAGGGAAGCATTCCATGTGAAAAGAGCTGACAGTTTTATTTTCTAGATTTAGGTCTGACAAATGCCTACAGGAAACATTCACTTGATCATATTGGGTTTTGTTGTGAGACAGTTGTCAAAACAGGAGTATTTGCAAAAACTAAACTTTCAGTGTGCAATTTCATCATGCATTGTTGGAAAACTAAATTATAGCACATAGGCACTGGTCATGTCCTCTGGAAACTGCCTGGCCTTTTGTGTCACTTATTTATTGCAAAATACAATCTGAATTCCAAAATTAACAAAATTCATGCCCTCTGGTTCTTAAAAGTCTTATAACTCATCATTTCAGATCTGCTTGAATTCAAATTAAGTCCTCTAACTGCATTAGCCTACAAACAATACCTTTCAAAGAAAAGTAATGACAGTTGTTTTGACATTAAAATGTAAGAAAAAACATATTCCATAAGGCAGTAATAATGGCCCTCAGTAATCACTGTTTAGCCTTATTACAAATTATGGGAGGATGAAATGAGTAAAAATAGAAATGCTACTCTTCCACAACACTATCTGTTGTGATAATTTGTGAAGGTAGGAAAGCATGGGCCTTCAGCAGTTCATCAAATAATTGCACATTATATTAGCTTTTGTTCAGCAATGGTGATTCTATCTATTCAGAATTTCAAAGCTAAATTTCTCACTGAACTTATCTCAGTCTGACACTATGCACTGGTTAAATTAACAACAAGACTGAATTTGCAGGTATGGACTCCCAGAAGGTTAAATAAGCAACCATATTTAAGAATCCAGACTCTTCTGACTTCTGCTTACATATTAGGTCTTCAAATGGGCTCATATGAAGTGGAACATCACTCAACTCAGTAGTCTTGAAAAAGCAACTACTCTTTTATATCCTTTATTGAGTGCTTTAAAGTTTTGAAATTTTTTGCTACCACTGTGTACATTTATTTATTATTTCTTTTCACTTTATCTTAATTAAACAGATTTGTAGAAGGTTTTCTAAAAAACCTACTAACTGATTATTTGTTCCTTTTTCTGTTTAGATATAGTATACCATTATACACCTAAACAAACAGTTAAATACACTTAATCAGAAAATTAAGACCTATTGGGAAAAAAAGAATGAAATCAGGTTTTCCTAAATTAATCTCAAAATAAAAATGGGAGACACCTTTTTTTCAATGTCTTGTTATGAATATTCAGCAGCTGTGTTTGTGTGTGATTCAGAAGCCAGTGAGGAGCTGTGTGGCACTACAGTAAAGCAGTTGTAGGGGGCTGGTTGTTCAATAATCAATGAGCCTAATATTTATGAAAAATACTCATAGGCACTCTAGAAAAAAACAGTCACTACATCAGTGAACAATGCTGCCAAGGTTACTTAATACAGCTTTAAGAACCATGACATGAAGGTGTTTTCTAAAGTCATTTGATGAATAACCCCTGCTGGAAGGGATTAGACAAATTATAAGAAATTACACTGATAAAATAGATCAAAGACTCTTAATCTAAAATACAAAAAGAGCTAAGGTCTCTCTAAAACACGCACTCAAAACTTACAAAAGTATTTCAAAACTGATTCTTTGTGCATGGAAGACTGAACAAAATTTCCTACAAACAAGGAAGAAAGTTCAGAATTATTACAAAGACTGCACTGAATGCATAAGGAAATATTACATGGAGAGAGGATCAAAACCAAGTCTTTTTTATCACTTACTGCAAAATAATAATTTCATGCATAATTAGTAATAAAGGCTTATAGTGAAAAGATATAATAAGAGCTAGCTAGAGACGTCCGTGGTGCGGTTCGTTTCTTTTTGTGATCTAGATTTCTGTGAAGAAAGGTTTTCTTTGTTTAAAAAAGAGAATAAAGTAAGTCACTAGTAGCTTTACCAGAAACCACAAAGAAGTCAGAACAATATGAATAAATTAACTGTAGGTACAAGTACTGAGAAAGTAGAAAATATCAAACAATTCCTAATAGTTCTGTAGACAAAGATTTTTCATCATTCACTGGGTAGAAAGTGGGGGGGGGGAGGGAAAGAAAAACAAGAGAACTCTTCTTGGATATTCTCTGTAAGTGTAACAGCAGGGAGCCAACATAGTCAAATCCTGTAGGAAGAGGCAACAGGACTCTAATATTAGCTTTTGAGACTGAATCTAAATTAGATAGCAGGGTCGAACAACTTTTATTCATTGAAAATGAATTGTAAGCTTTACTTATTTATATGGACAGTTTTGAAGTGAAATAATACAACCCAGCCATCAGAAAAAGGTTTTAGTTTTATATTCATGCCTAGGTTTTCTATGTTTATTTTTATAAACATAGGAAAAACTCTAAACTATATGGAATGACAAAAAGCATTCCATAACAAGACGTGCATGCTTGCCTTAGAAAAGTTCAATAATGCACATGCAAATAAACTACAGAAATTGCTTATCAGGACACACTTGCTTAGGTGCATATCCATTTGAGAATTAAAATCTACCACTACCTTATAGAACTGCACAAATCTACCATTACTGATGGAATATATTTGTGTATTTATCATTGTGTGTTGAGATTTGGTATTATTAAAAGGTATAAAATAAGGTATTGATATGCTGGTACTGACGTGTGCTGCTGCAATGTTCAGAACAGCAATTGCTATCAGCCATTTACTCCCATATATTTTCTTTCCTTTAAAAAATGCCTAGTCCAATTGCTATCAGGTTTCCTGCTAATAGCACAAGTGGCAATCTAAAGTCATTTCAAGGCAGAAGATTGCAAACAAGAAAAAAAGTCTGAAAAAAAGAAAACCAAATTAACAGGAAGGCCTTCTTATAAAGTACTCAGATGGTTCAGTATTGATGAACTGTCACAGGCAGCTCTGTGAGGTGCTCTGTCTCAGGAACTTTTATGTTTCCATTACTCAGAGCAATTGTCAGTGTCATGTTACAATGTATAAAGGCATAGCCTATTCCAGAAAATTCAAGAATTTCCTAATTCTGGGATAAATCCTTATTTAATACCAAAACACATATTATTTGATGTTTTTCTTGGCATTAGAATTTTACCAAATAATTCTTATACTAAGGATGACCCTAACCTGACAATTGCAGCAAAACTGTGTGTCTTAGGAAAGCTTCCACTTTTTTTTTTTTTTTAAGATTGAGTGGTAGAAAGATTTTTGTTTCTCTTGAGTTTGCTCACATTTTATAAACCACTCATTCACATAATTTTACAGGAATCATAAATTGCTTCATTACAAATCTCTGTCTTACATAGAAAGTGCTGTACTTTCTGCATAGAGCACTTAACAGTCTTCATCAGTAATCAGACATATTTTCCCTTTTTATATAATTACAGGCAATTATTTAAATTACCTGAAAGGAACCTCTTTCCCTCAGAGATCATGGAATCATCAAGGTAGTCAATCTTTCAAGATCTTGAAAATTATGGTAGAACTTGGCTAACCCCTTCTTCATTTGCTACCTTCTGTCTTAAGTGTGGAACAAGAAGTGGATGTGCTGTTTCAGTATTATGTTCTCCTTCATAATACAGTAACAGCACTTTTCTACACCTGTACTGTATTTTCTAAGCTATGCATTCAAAGACCCTTGTTTTTCAGAATTTTACAAAAATCCTTTGATGAAAGAACAATGGAGCTGATGTCAGAAAAACAGAGAGTGGGAAGTAAGGCTGACAGCTTTAGTTCACACTGTGAGATAGGTTCTCTGCTGCTTTGCAGATTTCTCAAACATTCTGGGAGACATCACTGCAAAACAAAGCCCTTCCTCCCCTTTATACCTATGTTATTTCATCTTTGATAAGTAACATTATTTAGCATAAAAAACCATGTTGTTCAAAGAAACCCAACTGCCTAATAAGTTGTTCTGCTTAGTTAAGACTTAATCAAAGCTGATTTTCAGCAGATTAACTGCTGGAAAGACAAATAGACTTTTGCACTGGTTTTCACAGTTCTGCTTGAAAATTCACAGCGATTTCCTTCTTTCCTAAACACAGTGAGTATTGTGCTGCTGGACAGGACCAGCAAATATCCAGCAGAAAAAATGCTCATAAAAGCTATTCAACAGAGATAATACAATAGCTCTGACTTACCAAGCACGGTCCTCACCTGCAGGAAGAGCATGCTCACTTACACAGATACAGCTTTGTAAAATAAAAATGCATGGCAGGAAATCTTAAATTATTATAGAGATTATAAACATATATATGCATTACAAAAACAGTGACACTGGTAAGCAAAGTTACAACTCAAGTTACAACTCTGAGCCATAAAACCTCTCTATTCAAAGTTTCTTGTTCTTTCACCTTTAGAAGGAACTTGGTTTGGGGAAGCATGGAGCTGGTTTTGCATGCTACTTCTCAGTTGCTAAAATTTTGAGCCATTATTTTAGTCGCACTTGACATTTTATACTTTGATTTTTTCACAGCATCCCTCTGAGGAAAAGGCAACATATTTCAATGTTGCAACATTTTTCAATTATGACTAACATGACTTTCTGAATCTTCAATCTACCATTCTTTAGTTTGCAAAACATTTCAGTTTTACTGTCAATTACGTTTCTCCTGAGCGAATAATACCTCCCTAATATGGGAATTGAATTATTTTCCAGGTTATTTCTAATGATAGAGGGAAACTAAAGCTCTTAAAGACCCCATTTGACCCAAAGGTGAACAACCACCATGGTGAGGTTAAACAATACCAAATGGTTTAGCATGCAGATTTTGTTCCAAATATATAATTACATATTTGCTTGCACTAAAATTCATAGCTTATAACAATGTAAGAGTTCCAACAAACTTCTTTCACAAAATCTGTGTTATTCTGAATTCAACAAAGTCTATATAATCTTCCCAACTACTGAAATGTAGTAAACATTGTGCAATAACTACTGGTTCCTAAGGACTCCCCTTCTGATGACTTTCCAATAATGAATTAATATTTGCTAAAGGTTTTCATTTTTGGAAATGTGTTATTTTAGATCTATACAAGTATGCAGTATGGGTTTTGATCAAGATATCACACTTTAAGTAAGGTAAGCATATTGTACTCTTTTTATATATTTGATTTGTAAATAGTGCCAAAAATGTAATCAGGTCATTTAACAAGATCTACTTTTCAAGAAAATGCTTTGAGTGGCATTGATTTTTTTTACCTTCTAATTCCCTGTTGGCAGAGATTTTAGAACGCTGGTTGCACACTTCCTGCTACTGCAATCTAAGAAATTCTGATCCAAAGATAGATTTTAGTCAGCTTGCTTCCACCTTTGTTTTTCTTCATAAATATAGCAGTACCATTTTTTCAGAGAACCAGGCACTCCCACCCTAAGCAAAGCCACCACCATGGCTAAAATACTGCTGCTTTCTTAGACAATGATGTCAAAATTTTCAAATGAGACCAAAGGTTTACCCAGGACCACCAGCTGGGGAATTCTGTCACAATATTGTGTTTTCTAAGAGCCTGTAAATCCTCCTGTACTTCCTCATTAGTGCAATAAATACACTGAATCAGTTAGCACTGTCTTCCTAATGAAGAAGAAAGACAGTTGTTTTCATGTTTTCATTCAGCTGGTTATATCAGTTTCTCTTTCTGGATGTTCTTCACCTCTCTGAATTCACTACAAAAGCCCCATTTTTTTTTTTGCATCATCTTGACATTTCTACTTCCTCCTGTAACTATTACCCATCCTAGAAAGAAAAAAATATATATCAAAAAGATTATGTACACTGCCATATGATCTAATTTCTGATTTTACATTGATTACTCTCCTCTTTCAAGTATTTGTTTAATATCATTTGATGAAAAAGAAGCAACATGATCTAAGAGTAAATAACTACTTCCTTACTGTAATTTATTACAGTATATAATTTATTATCATATATATTATAGAAGTCTTTAATTTCCTACATTATTTACTATAATGTCATTTATTCACTACATTTTTGTAGTGAATACAATGCAATTAATATTCTAAATTTTTCAGATAAACCCATTCACATTTAAAATAATTTGCTAAAAACATTTGAGCAGTTGCTAAGCAACAGTGATCTGCCAACTGGTTAGTTAAGAACCTTTGCTGTGAGACCATGATGGAGATCCTGTCAGGACATCAGATCTGTACATGCAGAGTTGGGTCTCTTTCCTCCTTCTACTCTTCTACAGTGTACTCCAAAGAATCTCTTAAAACACTCAACAAAGCCATTGACTATTTTTAGTTCACCTCTACAGTAATTATGACACAAACACATTGTTATTAACTTGACAATGAAAGAGTTTCAACTAGGATTTAAATATCCTGTCACACGTGAGGTGTTCCAGCCTTTGGTGTCACATCTGTTCTACAGCTTCTACTGACTGCTCATCCTGTAGTCCCTCACCAACCCTGCTTCTAAAACTGCCATAACTACTGCTACCATCTTCCTTAAAACACACCCTAAAATGTTTTATAGCAGGTAAATTCTATTTCAATTAAAGTATCTGTAATAAAGACTCCTCAGAAAAAATAGATTATTTTTATTATTCCAGAATAGAATAAACAAAACCACGATATACATTGAGTGTCAAAACAAACACATGAAAGCACAACTGATTCCAGTGACACTTGGAAAAGTGAACTGCAAAAATATGCAGAAGGACTCCATTGATTAAGAACTGGTGAAACAAAACTAGATATTGACTGTGTATAATTCAAGTTTCTACAAATTTGCATGAAGCTCCCCCTGAGACTCCTTTTCTCCAGACTTCAGCTCTCTCAATAGCTCAAGTTGCTTGTGAGTTTTTTTTAAGAAATGCAACCCAAGTACTTTACAGGTTTAAAAACAGCATTAAAAAAAAAAAAAAAAAAAAAAAAAAATAAAAAAAAAAAAAAAAAACAAAAAACAGGCTTTCTGTATAAAATTCAAGATACTAGAAAAATTAGAGACGACACTGACAAAGATGGCAAGAGCACTCTGAAAGGTAATGCAGAACTGTTCATGGATGAGGGACACCATTAGCTGAAATCTCCCTCTGGCTGACTGAGGAGGGCAAACAAGAAAAGAGATGTGATATGAGTGGCACAATTTGAACACAGATCAGTGCTGGATGAGAAGTGGAAGGGAGAAATGGGAAGAAAGCATAAATTCAGGAGCTGTCAGATAACAGATCATATTAATTTGTCTTTTAGAGCAAGTCTCCTGTGCTTGTGTGCCTTTGAGAAAATCAATAAACCAATGGCAAGTGGAAAGCATTGGCTTGAGCTAATATTTAGAACTTAGGTACTGACAAGAAAGGCAAAGTTGTTCAATAGTAGAAAGGAAAGAAAGATAATTTTCTTGATCTACTCAGGAAAGCCTTAAGGATTATCTTGGCAAAAGAATACAGTCAAATTCATCACCTTTAAGACTATTACCTGTTTTCTGAGATGTAGGGACTAATGAAGTGTCCAAATTAACTCTGGCTGAAGATAACACTGGAATAGAGAACTTTTTGGGAACTTCAAAGAGGTTGTTCATGCTCACTTCTACACTGTAATCCACGTACTTCAGCTCGGAGGGGTGCCTGCGAGGTTCCAGAAGTGCATGTCTCTGCAAGTGAAGCAATAATGTATCCAGCTGAGCAATCATATTCAATTTTCAGGTTGAAAAATGCAAAACTGTACAGGCTCAATTCTAAAACTGAATTGGTAATTAAGAAACTTACATAGCAATTTTGAGCGATCCTTCCAAATAAAAACTGACTTCTAAGATACTTTTAGACATCATGCATCTGAAACATTTGTTTAAGAATAATGCATTTTGAAATCTACAGTAAAACCATAGCCTACCCAGAAATAATCTCTGCTAGCCTTAATGCATATGCAGGAAAGGCAAGAAAAGGGGAAAAAAAAACATAAAAAGAAAAATATTTTGTATCAGTGCTAGAAAGATGCTTCTTCTCCTACTTCATAAAGTTTCTGAGTAATAAGAAGCATGAAAAATAAAAGTTATTTTCCTTTCTGACAAGGGATAACTATTAGCTAACTGATATTTTAATGCTGAAAATGTATTTTCGAAATATGGGCATTTAGAATCAATTCTAGAGACAATTTAGCTCCTCCTCTTGGTAAAAAGCATTGCTAATCAACAGCATGAAACATATTAGTAAAGGATTAGAACAGTATATTAAGGCAAGCTCAATACAGGCATCTGAACCTATTAATGAACTTAATTTGACTCCTGCAATAATTTAATACACTACTTGCTCAAAATTGCCATTTTCAATCCAATAACACACCATAATTTCAATGCTCAAGAGTAATTGTAAGCTGAACAAATTTTAAACAAAGTAATGTCTTTGTTACAGACAAGGCTTTGAATTAATGACTGCTGTGAATTATCTTGAAGCAAATCTAGGACAGAGATAAAGATGGAAATATTCATGTTTTGCTAAGAAAACTGGTTTATTCTCAAAGTCTTGTGCTTTAAAATACTGCCAGGACTGCAGGTATCACAGTACATATTTTAGTAGGCCAAGGAACACATATCCATTGTGGGAATTCAAAAACTCAATTTAAAAGGAAAAGCAGTTGTTTCTGAAAGATCACCATTAGGTGTAAGATGGTCAATTTACTGTTTAAATCAACAAGACTTCTTGGGTTTTGCATTGGGTTGGTGATGAGTTTTTTTGGTTTGCTTTTTTTCCCTCATTTTAATACAAATTCCACATTCCCTTGCTGGTTTTAGAAAGCAGACCCACACTCTGACATTGCTTTGTTTTGACCATTAATCTATCTTTCCACAGTGACAATACAGTGTTAAACAAAAAGTACGTATGGACATGGGAAACCTGTTAAGGTTTAGCTATTAATAAAGTTTTTTATGGCATAATAAATATAGAAAGAGATAATTACTCAAAATTCTTGTTCTATGAAGAGCAACTGGACACATGTATTTGCCTAAAAAATTCACAACAAACCAAATTCTCAGGATAGTTCTTGTACTACTGTATTTGCACAACCTTGTGCAAATATAATTTACAGAAGGAACCGGAAGAATTGTTATGTGAGTTGAAAATCTGAGCTCATTATTCACTCATTTATATCATTCAAGACTGGGCTCTGACATTACTCCCTCTCAAATGCACACAAAATTAATTAAAAAACCAATAAGTACAAATCATTCAATGGCTATATTAATTGCAAGTTCCACTTCTCTCTGATAGGAATGAAATGCCAGAATATTTTGCAGTGGGAAAAAAAAAATAATTCTAACTTGTAATTGGAGGTTCCTAAACACAAGAATTATATCCATTTACCAGTTTAAATTTGACTTGATCTTCTGCATAATCAAATATAAATTTATACCTATAAATTATTTTTATAACTAGATTATTTTCCAACACTGAAATAAAAATCCAACATGACTACACAGTTTTGTTACATTTTAATTGACAGTATAATTGTAAGATGACCTTTCCTGGAGTACTAAACTCATTTGAATTATAATTATCTTGAAGAAATGTCTTATTACTTAAAAACTCACTGAAATGCTTTTTTTCAAGATCCTTGTTTATGTTATCTCATTTTTAAATGTAAGTTAGGAAAAAAAACCCAGTCGGTTACTATTACATAGTCTATGAACATTTCAAGTATTTCCTGGCATCTTGTAAACAAGTGAAGGATAAAACATTTTTAATAAGAGACGTAGTGGAAAAAGAAAATTCTGCAACCATACACAAAATTAAACTTTGCTGCCTCATAGGCTAACATTTCCAAGAGAAAATGTCAACACAATTCAGATGAATGTTGCAACTGCTCCAATTTTTAACATTTTTGTGGGCAGTGAGAGTTAAATGGAATTTAATATTTTTTAACTCTCATGATCAATGCAGATCTAAGGCCTCTCCACTGCAAAATGAAAGATTCCAAGCACTTTTATTTCGTGAACCTGATGGTTCATTCAGTTCCCAGGATTAATTATTTTCTTCTATTAATTTTTTGAAAAATCAATGGAGGGTATATAAAGCATCAGAATTAAACTTTATCTTGAAAGACTCAAGGAATTTCTGATTTTCCAAGGTATTTTCTTAGATGTGCCACCTGCACTTTCTATGTGTAAAGGGTGGCAGATTCAGTTACAGGGTTCTGAGGCACCTCTCTCCTTCCTTGCATAATACTGTTCTTCAAATCCTAATTTAGAACCATTTCTTCCTTCCAGAAATTAACTTCTAAAACTTTTTCTCATGAATAAAGAAATTTATTTTCTTGGTCTCTCAGAACCCCTGTGATCAACTGTGTTTGCCACCTCTCTTAAACCCATATCAAAAGATAAGTGATGTAATATAAAAGACATTGGTCTCACTTGTACATTAATCAAATTGAAATCTGACCACAGGTCCTTTTCTGAAAAAATCATTCCCACTCAAACATATTAAATGCAATTTATTATTTCCAGTACCTTCTTTGCTCAAGGACACCATGATTCTTCCTCAAAACAAAAAACCCACACCAGTTTTTTAAAAAAGTAGATTCTTTACACTGAGCTTACAAATTTCCATAATCATACAGAAGAACACAAAAAATCCTTCTTGATCTCTGGGTGCCTATGAAGAGCAAAAACTCTGAAGATCCAAGCTGGACAGGATGAGACTTTGCCACATCAGCTGAGCAGCTGAAGCCACAGCCCCAGGTGCACAAGGTCTCCATTCATTTTTCCTTATCAAAACTCAAACTCACCAACACCACTATGGTGTACTAAGATAAAAACACTCCATGTTGCTCAGTCACATGGACAGCAGGATAGAAAGGAAATGCACAATGTCCTAACATCTGAAGTATGGCAAATGTGGTGTCCACACTCAGATGAGAGATGTTAAAGAGGAATGGCCTAAGAAAATACTTTTTACAGCTTAACAATGAGGGCACACGTGGACACAGCACAAAACTAAAGCTTTAGCTCTGGGATTCTTGTACAACAGGACTTTTCCTATCATAATGTCTAGTTACACAAGGAGATTATTGGCAGATATGAAGAAAAAGTCCTGTATCTAGAAATTGAGTCTAAAACTAGGCGCGTTATTTTGAGTCTCACTTCACTGACTGCAGCATCCTTTCCCCCAAGCTCATATTGTTATTGCTTTTCTTCTTCACTTTCCTCTATTTACTATATTAAGCAACCTCAGTCTAAACATGTTCTTTCACAGGCTCTTATCTTTTTCCAAAACCCTCTTGCTTCCCTTGCTATGTTCACCTAAACATCCCCTTTCACCCTTCTCTTATTCATCATTACTAATTATTCACAAAACAGCCTTTGTTAATTATTCACTATAATGCTAAATCCAACCTTAACAGTGTCTGAGAGTTCCTATATTATCCTATATTATCTTACTACCCAAATATGTTTTAGGAGGAATTAAACACTCACAAGGTAAGA